AGCTGGTGTGACCCCACAGATGCTAACTTTGGTGCCCTGTGTGTGGACGTTGTCCTGGCACTCAGGTGGGGAGGAGAGGTGCGATGCTTCTGGTTTTGCAGATGAAGAAACAAGATTGGATGTGCAGGGACTCGCCCTGCGTCACAAAGTAGGCCAGGTCAGGTCCAGAACTGGATTCCAGGGTCCCAGTGTCCATAGAGGCTGCCCAAGCCCAGGCAGGGCCCTCAATGGCTGGTCAGGAGGCCCGCCCCTGCTGGGAGCCCGCTGCATGCTCCCTGGTGTGCCCTTTGTCCTGGCAGCCTGGATACCTGGTGATGTGCCTGGTGATGTGCTGTCAGCTGGGAGCCCAAGCCTGGAGCCCACTTTGGCTGCTGACTCCTTGGTGGATCAGGGGCGCTGTCCCCATGGCAACCGTGTCTTGCTATCTCTGGGTAAAAGCCATCCCCTGGGAACTTTGGGCATCAGAGCTGAGACCTATAGAACCCGGGTTCCGAGGCTGCAGCTGCTGTAAACAGTGAGTGCCACCCAGTGGGCGGAGTTTGTCTGGGAGGAGGCCTAATCTGGGGCGGTGCTCAAGCCTTGTCCCCATCCCTGTGGAAACTTTCCCCGGTGGAGAAGCAGCTGAGACCTGTTTGTCCAGGAGCCTTGCTGCCTGGCTCCTCTCTGCAGAGCCGGTAGCTGAGCTGCTGCGTGTTGAGTGGCGGGTGGCAAACTCTAGTTGGTGTTGACAATGAGGTCATTGGGTGAAGAGGTACCACAACCAGAAATCATGGCAGGGAAGGGGACACAGGGGAGGCATGTGGTCATGTTCCCTCTTTGGCTGGTGGCTGTCAGCGTGGAGGGTGGCCCGGGCCCAGCAGGTTGGGCTCCCTGGACGGCTTTAACGCACTAGCCGAAGGGAACCCCTCCACTGTCTCCTGCCCCCCACAGTGTGGGAATTGGAGACCGGGGCTTCAGTTTGTATTTCTGAGTTTCTTGGGCCGCAGTGTAAGCATGTCAAACTCAAAGGCTAACACAGGCCACATAAGGTTAAGTTTATGTGGGCCGCAGAAAAACAAGAGCTTCAATTTTCATAGAAATTAGGTTTATTTTGAAAAGCATAGTGTAAAAAAAAGCACAAGAGCATTAAGATTAATGCTTTCTTCCTGACACTTGGCATCTCTTCTCTGCTACTACTCTCCTACTTCAGGGAAATCTTGTTCGCAGGGATTACTTTCAAAACTCACCCCAGGCGAATGTCAGTAATTCTGGATCTGACAGGAGATGTCTTTCCTTTCGTAATTGTAATAACTGCTCACCCGTTATATTGGCTGGGCCGCAGACATATTCGCTGTGGGCCGCGAGTTTGACATGCTTGCCCAGTGGTTTACCCTCATTAGGAAGGCGTTAGGCCCCTTCGCCGTCAGGAGGTCGAGAGACCCCAGCACATCTGACCCTGGAGGAGCCCTGGGAAGCCCTGCAAGCAGGAGTGCCGGGTTTGAGAGGCCCCTGTCCCCAGAGTGCATGGTCGTGGGAGCTGGGCCTGGAGGAGCCCCTGCGCCAAATCAGGTGATGTGAGCGCCCCCACCCACGGCTGATGGCGCTTCTGGGAGTAGCCCCTTCCCCCGGGGACATCTGTACAGGGCTGGGTCCTGGACTGTGGGTCTGGGGCCGGCCTCCGTTGGGAGCTGAACCCAGCATCTTGTACCTTGTGTCAGTTTCTGGCTAGGGTTGCTCGGGCTGCTTTCTCTCTCCCGACCACCTGTGAGAGCCAGCTCTGCGCGGGGCAGTGCAGGGTCCCCGTGTCCCCTGCCGCCCGGTGGAACAGCAGGAACTGCACTGTCACAGACGGCTGGGAGGCCTGTCCCTTCCTCCCTCGCTGGGCCCACTGTGGTCACTCCTGGGGAGGGAGGATGGAGTTGGGACCTGTCCTGGTCTGCCCTGGGGCCCCAGCCCAGCTCTCGGTGAGCCCCAGGCTCAGTGCTTTTCCAGGACTGAGTTCTGAGCCCCTAGAAAAGGGCGAGGTCTCCACTAGGGTTTACGGCCACATCTGAGACACAGAGGCTGTGAGTACCGTCACTCCGCCCATCGGCCTCAGGGCGGCGCCATCTTCCTGTACCTTCCTGTTCTTCATCCACCATCACGGACCCCGTTCTCACATGTGGCTGATAGGGGTATGTTCTCACAATTCCGGACACAGATTGAGGCGCCTGGTGTATTGATGGAAAGACCTTTGAAAGACTTCAACTTAGAGTCTCAACCCTGAGCACCTTGTGGGCTTTCTCCAAACCACACTGCCTCCTGGGCCAGCACCGTGCAGTGATCTGGGCTTCCTGATGGCCACGTGTAGCTCCCCGTCGTCAGCTGGGCCCTGGGCCCAGGCTGGTGCTGGGTGTGGAGCCGGATCTGGGCTTTCCATGCTGCTGTTGTGAATTCATCCCGAGCTTGAAACAGACCAGCTCCCCATTGTCTGTCTCCCGCCCCCAGCTCCGGGCCAGCTTCCCTTTCACAAGCTTCTGCATAGTTGTCATTTTTCTCTCCCCAGTCACTTGACTGGACTCTGTTAAAGGGGCAAAGCTGGCATTGGGTGTGGGCTGAGATGGCCCACTGCGTGCCCTGCCCTGGTTCAGAGCTGTGCCCTCAGCAGGGCCTTGGCCCTGCTTTCCATAGCAGGTGAGCCATGGGACGGGGAGGTGTCTGGCAGGCAGTGGCCAGGGCAGGGGGCGGGGCATGGGACAGGTGTCGGGGGCAGGGCCACCCCCAGGGCGGCATTCTGGGTTCCATGCTGAATTTTCTTCAAGGCGCCCAAGGGCCGCTTTGATGTTGTTTTTTAAATCCCGGCTTTGGTTCCATTCTCTTTGGTCAGAGGATGTAATTATTTTGTGTTGCTTTGTTCAGTTTGCTAGCATTTTTTTAGTATTTTTGCATAGCACAGGTGTGATGAGTATCTGTAGCCATATGAGATCCTGGTCTGCAGTTCTTTCCTTTGCTGTCTTGTCTGGTTCTGGCTCTTTGTCCTGGTGGGAAGGGACGAACAGGAGCTCTGAGCCCGGGTGCAGACAGTGTCGACAGCAGTGCCCACGTGGTGGACGGCCTCACCTGTAAAGGGGGCAGGAGGCCTAGCCAGCCGCCTGGAGGCAGTGGGCGGGGCTGCTGGCCTTTGTGCAGTGTCTTCCTGTTCTGCGCCCCGTGACTCCACACAGTGGGAGCACCCACGGGAGACACCACATGCTGATCATCTCTGAGGTCCTCGTGGCTCTAAAGCTCGGACAGCTTGACTCATGGGAACTCACTGGGCAGCTCACCCTCCCTGCTAGGCAACCCCCAAATCCCGTGGAGAAAAGGGGAGGGGAAGGTGTATCCTCGCCGAGGGGCCTGCTGATGATGGGCGCCAGGCCACCTGATAGAATGGAGAGGCTGGGGACACACGCTGGGCACTGGGGTGTCAGGGACCCTGTGCCTGGGTCTGGGCTCCTCTGGGGAGCAGTGGCCATTCCCTCTGCCGACTCCATCCCTCCTGGGGCAGCCTGTTTGTGTGACTGCAGCTCAGGGCCCTGTGAGGAAGCCCCCGAGGCAGGCCAGGGAAGAGGAGTGTCTGCCACTGCTCAGCGAGCCAGGCTTCCGGTGCGGACAGCGCCCCTCCAGTGGTCTCCCGCCAGCCCCCACTGATGAGGAGCTGGGGAGGTGGCCTGGGGAAGGCTGGCATCTGTTAGGTAGCAGCTCAGCTGCCATGCAGGGTATGATGTAATCCTGGACTCTGTGGTTGCTAGGGAAATTCTGCGTGGTCCTGGGACTGAGGCGAGAACAGAATGTCCCGAGAAGACAGGGAGGATTTGCAGGGCCCCATCCCCAGCCAAGGAGCCCCATCCCCAAGAGTCAGACGATCTGAGCTCCTCTAGACCTTATTCCCCTTTTCAGGGTGCGCTGTCAGAACCCCATCGAGGCAGGTGGGTGGTGACAGCACCTGTGCTCTGGTGCCAATGGAAGGCGCATTTCTGGATGATCCAGCCTTGTGGGCGGGCCCTCCTTCTGCAGCGCCCGCCCCTGGTGGGTGCCCCCTCCGTTGTCCCCGAGGCAGCCAGGTAGGAAGGTCAGCCGGCTGCCAGTGAAGGAGAGGGTGCCCTGAGGTGAGGAAGCGGCCAGCACCCCAGCACCGTGCCTGGGGGCACAGCCAGTTCCATGCGCCTCCCACACCGCTCCCCTTCAGTGGCCTTTCTGTGTCTGCTGTTCCAGGCCTCCCTCCCCGGAGAGCTCCTCCAGTTAGCACAGAGGAGAAACACGCCTGTTCTGGGCGCAGCCAAGAGCCGTCCTTTAGAAAAAGGGGGGAACGTGGCAGGACTCAGGGGCGACCCCGGTCCCCTCACCTGCCCTGCAGGGTCTGCCGCTAAGTCAGCTCCTTCCGCCCAGCACCTCTGGGTGGGAGGCAGGTCAGGGTTCCAGGCGCTTTCCCTCCCTCTCCTGCCGTTTTGGCTGCGTGTCAGAGCCTGCCTTATGGAAAACAAGGCAAAGGAAGTGACTTCATGAGTGCCTGGGCCAGATTCTCAAGTCCATGATTAAAACAGCAGCAATAAAGATTATGGCCGTTATCTGTCTCCTATGGAGCCAGACCGCCTGCTCCTTGGAACAGGTGTTGGGTTTGGGCAAAGAGGCCTGGCTCGTAGAAACCATAATGAGCAAGGTCCCCCGAAGGGATCAGGACAAGAGCCTTGGGAAGAAAGGGGGAGGTTCCGAAGGGCCTGACTGTGGTGTGAGCAGAGCCCTGCTCCAGCAGCAGCCCTGGGTTCTCACACTCACCTCCTCACTGTGCAGCCTTCAGCAGGCCTGAGCCTCACCCCTTCCCCTTTCAGCCCGCAGCCCCCCAGCCCTGCAGCAGGTTGCAGGCATATCCCCTGTCCAGGCTGCAGGGGAGGCCTGGGGGCGGGGGGGTGAGCTTCCTGGGAAGTGCTTTGTGCTCAGAAAGCACCTGAGGCCACAGCCCAGAGGCCCATCCAGCAAGTCTCTCCCGCTGGTCTCCAGGTGCCGAGGACGTGGTGATGGCGTTTTCCAGGTCGGAGACAGAGGACCGGAGGCAGTAGCTACGAAGCCCAGGGAACATCCTGAAAGCTGGCACCGGCCAAGAGATCTGTGTGGACCTCGTCTGGCTGAGTGGCAGCGGTCACCTTCCCCATTTCCCCTCTTCACCCCACCCACCCACCCCACCCCACGGCCACTCAGCAGGCCTGGCATCGAGGAAAACACCGGTTGTGCAGTTGTGATTGGCTTCAAGGGACGGACTCATGATTGGCTTCAGGAAGAAACCTTTTTATTTTTAAATCTTGACCAACGGAAACCTTTTATTTTTATTTCTGACTCTTATTTTTTAAATTTGCGCCTCGGGTACATGGCTTCCCAGGAAGCTCTCCGAGCTCTGGTGCTTTCTTTATTTAGGTCACTTTTTAGGAACGTGAAGAGGTCTGATTGGCTGCTCAGACTCGAAAAGGATGTTGATTGGCTGGCTAACGGGAAACGATTTTTTTCTTGAATGGCTGCAGGTGTTCTGCTGATAGCAACAGCTTCTCTCTTGAATGCTGAATACAGGGTTTGGGACATTGGTTGTTATATTTGACTTGAAAAAAAAAGAAAGAAACCAAGTGCGCTTTGCAATATTTATTACACAGCTGGCTGCTTTCACGTGTTTGGTTTGTGTTTGCGTTTGATTGTGTGTTTGGTTTCCCATTGGCTCCCCCATGACTCCCGTTGCTCTGCCTCTCACCCCCCACCCCCCACCCCCACCCCCTCTGCTGCACGCAGTCCCTCTGCAGCCCGGGTCCACCTGGAAGGTGCATTTGCTTTAATGACCACCCCTGACTCCACCCACGCAGTCCTCTGCAGCCCGGGTCCACCTGGAAGATGCATTTGCTTTAATGACCACCCCTGACTCCACCAGTAAGGGATCTCCAGGACCCCAAGCAGCGTCTGCAGCTGCAAAATGGGGCCCCCAAGGTGGTCTGTGTTGTCCTGAAGGAGCAGCGGGAGCTGAGCGGTGACCGGCCATTAGCCAGGATTTACGTGCATCACGTCCAGGCTGGCCGCCGGCCAGCTTCCCTGGATGAGAATGGAAGGCCCACTGCGCCGGGCCCCCCGCCCGAGCCTGACCGAGCTGAGCAGAGGCTGCACCAGGCAGCCCTGTCGAATCCATTCTCTGCGTCTGCTTCCTAAGGCCTCCTCTGGGGGTCCTCCTGGAAAGGGCAGGAGCTGCTCCCCCAGCTGTGAGAACCCACAGTGTCTGCCCAGGAGCCCGGAACCCACACAAAGACCACAGCTTGACGCACGAAGCCTGCGAGTCCTTTGCCTCCAATCACCCACCCTGACCGCCCCTAGCCAGGCTCCCCAAGTGTCTGCTGCTGGACGGTGGGTCCCGGCCAGCACTCCGGCTCTCTCCTCCGGCCTGTGCCTCTCGGAACACCTCCTTCCCAAAGGCCCCTCCACATCAGCCTGGAAGGGAGGCGTCTTTTCCGAAGGGCTTCAATGAGCACGGCCCACAGCCTGTCCTCAGCCCCGGCCACGAATGGCTGCGGGCACCCCAGTCTTCCCACCTGCCCTCCCCCTTCCCTGAGGCAGCCTCCCCTTCTCCCCTCTCCTCTCACAGGATGCCACCTGGGGAGGAGGAGGAAGATGCAGGATGGGGAAGCCGCCCCTCCCCCTAAGATAGACGCCCAGCCTTGCCCAGGAGCCCAGAGCCAGAGCAGACTCAGCCACATTTCCCCTTCTCAGAGGTTGGGGCTGCCGTGGAGCACAGGGGCCGAATGTTAGTGTCCTAGGCCTGAGCCTGGGAGAGTCCTATGGTTTGGGGGGGCCGAATCGGAGGGGGTGGGGGCTACCCTGTGCTGATCTTGCCCCAGAAGCAGGACTCGAGTGTCAGAGTGTCATGACCTAAACACCGTGTCCTCCTCCACGCACAGGCCCCTGGCCCTGGTTAGTGGACCATTAACTGCAAAGGTCATTGATCCCCAGGGACGAGGACTGTGGGGACCTCACCAGGGGCCTCAGAGCATCCTCCTCCCGGGGGAAGGAAGACGCCTGCGTGAGAACACACACAAACACGCGAGCACACACACTCTCCGCTCAGTGGTCTGCAGCTCCGGCGGAGCCCCTGGGGAAAGGTGAGTTCTCCAGCCCCCTCTGCTGTCCGGTGTGGATGCCAGTGTCGCTGGCTGCCCGCTCTCTTTGTACCTGTTGCTCCAGGGAAGGGTCCATGTCTTGGCCGATGGTGTGTTCTCCACCCCAGCCCGTCCTTGTCAAGGTCCTGGGGCTCCCTCTTGTAACAGCGATTGCCCTGATCTGTCTTATCTTCTGAAGAAGAAAAGTGGAAGTGTTGCCGTGGCTTCTTGTTTCAACTAAAAATATACTTGTCGGAGAAAACAATTAGCAATAAACATGCTTAATACCTTGGTGCGTGAGCAGAGCTGTCTGCCTCGGCAAAGGGTGCACTGCTGACTTCCCCGCATCCCTGGGCTGCGGGGCCCTCCCTCCCCAAGGAGGGCCTCGGAGGGTGGGAACACGAGTTTGCTAGTGAATTGTCGGGGACCTGGAGTGGAGCTTGGGTTTGGAAGAGGTTCCAGGTCTACCCGGCCTGGCTGCCAGGGCCGTGGGAAGGCTGAGCCCCCCCCCCCCCC